GATGACACGGTGTCACCTTGGTGCCACACAGAACGCGCACACCTCCTCCTCCTCCTCCTCCTCCTACTTTGGCTCATTGTGAAAGCATTCCAGCTACCCTACATTGCTTGCATCTGCATCCAGTACAACATGCGGCACACTGGCTTCAAAATTTTGCCTAGACTGGTAGACCGTCTGCTTCATTTCTTCCGACCTCAAATCATGCTTGTTTACCACTAATCAGTCTTGTGTCATCACATTTTGGATTGATTTGTGCAATGAATAGGCAATATTGGCAATGTTATTAGCTGAAATTCCAGCAAAGCCAAGGGAACCGGAGACTCCTCTTTGAATGATTGATTTTGACCTGTCAGATTTGACAGCACTACGTCCTGTTTTCAGGTCAACCACATATCCAGGTTCGGTAGAGAGGGTCGTCGCGTGCATTTTCCACACCCCCCCAGGGGCTAATGTTAGTGCGAATTGGCTCGTGGGTGTTTTTTGTGGCATTAAATAAGTCGTTCAAAGGGGGGGGGGAGGAGGAGGAGGAGGGATTGTAACTGTCTAAACCCTTCTTCTAACAATCGTTTGCAAAGGGGAGTCATTATTGTCATAGCACCACCAAATTGATGGACATGATTTCAATGAGAAGTTTGGATTCAAAACAATGTTCTTCAACACAACTACAAAATCTTACCCCATCTAGTTGTTTGCTGATTTTTGCTTTGGTTTTATATGTAATGCAGCCCTTCTTCAAATCGAAATTAATGCGTCTTGAAGGGCTAAGTTCAAACTGGTAGTAGTAATACTTAATTTATGTGACCATCTCTATTACTGGCGATTATTTTTGGTACTGATTTTGTTCTCGTGTGCGTGGACGGGCTTTCGAGTCAGAGCAGGGTCCAATACCTCCTCGTTTCTCGTTGGATGCATGCATTTGGCTCCAGTCATTGCCTTCTTCTACTTGATGGAAGTCTCGAACGCTATTACTGATGGCGGCGGTGAAATGGAGGCTTTCGAATCTAATGCACGTGGCATAAGTTCGACAAAAATCGTAGACATCAGAGGTCACCCGAGGCCATTAAAGTTTCTCCTTCCCGTATCGTCTTACTCAGCAGAGCCACAGC